GGAAATAAGGAAAATGTTAGAAAAAATTAAAATCAAATTTTGGTGGGAAATATTACTTTGAAAAAAAATATAATTCGCAACGAAAAATAAGAAGAATTTTGATGATCTCATTACAGGCAAACCTCTCTACGGCGGAAAGCAATTAGACGATTCCGCCGTAGAGAGGTTCGTTAAAATGCTATTAGTGAGTGAACGTTCAGGGATGTATCAACCATTTTAAATCATATGATCTTTAAATATGAAATAGAAGTTATGATAATTTATTAATAACCTTATTTAAAAATATCTATTAAAAATCATTGAATTTTTGCAAAGAGTTTTGTCAAAAAATTTGAGAAGAATTGACAAAGAAATTGACTTCGCAGAATTTTATTATTTACGAAAATAATCGAATTCTCGCGAAAAATTTAATTAAAATTTATAAAAATCCTAATTACATTCTTTTGAAGAATATCTTTAAACTTTTTTATAATAATGGAGTTTCTTTAATAGTTATAATTTAAAATTTTGAAAGTAATTGAATTCAATTACTTTCAAATGAACAAAGAATTTTTTCAACTTTTTAAAATAATCGTATCTGTTAATAATTTTAAATATTTGATTTTTAAAGTTTATTAAAATTGTATTGAAAATAATTGAATTCCTCGGGAGAATTTTATTATTTATAAAAAATAATTTAATTTTTGAGATGAATTTTAAATATAATTATTTTTTTTAAATTACTTTGATTTGTTTTTCTATTTATTTTATCATTTTTTATGTTTATTTTTTAAAATATATAAAATATATCACAAAATAAACAAAAATTATAAATTAAATAATTTAAATAAAAAAACATCTATGTAAAAATTACAATTCGGAACTTTTCGGCCCTGAATTTCATGGCACTCACACAGTCACAACTCTCACTGATATAATCCCTTCTACTTTTACCTGGCGAGTTTCCGCAGTATAGAAGTCCGCCGTAGAGAGGTTTGCCTGTATTTTTAAAAAATTAACTTTTTCTAAGAGGACAGTTCCAAATAATTAAAATTTGAAGCTAACAATAAAATAGTAAATATCGTCTCATTATTTTTTGGATTTTGAAAACGTTGCGGACTTCAACCTCAATACTTATTTTAAAAATTACTTGCGAATGAAGTTTGAAACGTTTTTAAAAAAAGAGAAATCAAAAAATAATTTTTTTCAAATTAAATTTATCTGTAATTTTCATATGCATAAATTTTTAAGAAATTTATTCTTAATAATTGAGGGTCCCTATCAAAGAACCGGTTATAAGTTTTTGAGACTCAAAATTCTCGACCTCTAAATAAAAAAAGGATTTAAAATTTTAATTTCTTGAAAACATTTTGTATTGGTATAAAGATTACCCAAATGTTTCTCAAAAAATTGGAATTAGAAACAGTTTAATTTTTTATTTACAGGGCAATGATTTCGAGCTTAAAAAACTTATAACCGGTTCTTTGATAACCCTCAATTTTTAACCCTTATAACCCAACGGGAAGTTGCCAATGTTAACGATTGGTTCAATAATGGGCCATGCTTGGTACCCAATGGTTTTTTCTTGGCAAAACAATTGGCAACCATCATTGGACCACCAATGGTTTAAACTTGGGATGATCACGCTACTGCCAATGATCGGTAGCCAAGCATCGGGCCAATATTAGTTGCCAAGGAATTGCCAAGGAAACAAAATCGATTTTCAAACGCTTGATTTTTTATTGGCAGCCAACAAAAAACCAAGGTTTTGAAAATTGATTTTTTTTAATTGAGCGGATGGGAAGAAGAACTCGATGTGACGCTCCGCTGCACGCTGTATTGTCAGTCAAGAGTTCCAAATGCCAATAAAATTAAAGTTAGAAATTTTGAATTTTAAAAAGTGCTACATTATAGAAAATAAAGAGGCGCATCTTTTTTTCCTTTGAATTTTTTTTATAGGACAATTAGTTTAAATAGTAAGTGCAAAAAACTAAAAAAATTTTATTTTTATTTTTCATTCAATTTTAAAACATAAATCATCGTAGTTAAGACAAATATTGATAAAATTAATCGGTATTTGATATACAAACTCGTTAGGGTCTATAGAAGACGATAACATATCAAAAAACTTAAAAATTATTAATTGTTTAATAATATTTAATTATTATTAATTATCTACCAGCAATCACATTTTCTTACCTTCGCCGACAAAAAGTCAGTGGGGAAGTTTCGAATTAAAAGAACTTCCAGTGAGACATTTGTTCTTCAATGTATAAAGATGTTTTCTGAAAAATTTCAAATTGATTTAATGAAAAGTTTAGAAAATATCGAAGTTTAAACAAATTGCGCGTGGCGCGCTAGCGAGTCGCCGTGTATAGAGAATTATATTCTGTGTATAAATGATCTGCTTCTCATAACTTTTACATATACATTTATTTACTATCGCAAATAAATTGTTTTCAATTATATTAAACTTTTATAATAATAAATAATAAAATTATTTAAACATTTTTTAAATGTAATATATAATATTGAAACCTTATATTAAATTATTATAATTAAACACATTTTAATATGTGAAAATAAAAATAAATAAAATATTTTTTAAATACTAATAAATGTTAATAAATAACTCAAACTAATGTTAAGGCATTTCAATAACATATTTAATGAAATACTAGATATACATTAATTAAATTTTTCCACTTTTCTTTTGACGCATCATAATATTTCCTTTTTCGTTCTGATGACATATTTTAACAATAACGTTAAAGGTAATATTTCACATTCTTAAAGCGTAAAAATTTTTAACAATAATTAAAAATATTTAATATAATAATAATATTATAATATAAATAATATTTTATTCTATTCATTTAGTAAAACTTTATTAATTTAAACATTAAATCAATTTTAATTTATCAATATAAATAAATTGAAAACAATTTATTTGCGATAGTAAATAAATGTATATGTAAAAGTTATGAGAAGCAGATCATTTATACACAGAATATAATTCTCTATACACGGCGACTCGCTAGCGCGCCACGCGCAATTTGTTTAAACTTCGATATTTTCTAAACTTTTCAATAAATCAATTTGAAATTTTTCAGAAAACATCTTTATACATTGAAGAACAAATGTCTCACTGGAAGTTCTTTTAATTTGAAACTTCCCCACTGACTTTTTGTCGGCGAAGGTAAGAAAATGTGATTGCTGGTAGATAATTAATAATAATTAAATATTATTAAACAATTAATAATTTTTAAGTTTTTTGATATGTTATCGTCTTCTATAGACCCTAACGAGTTTGTATATCAAATACCGATTAATTTTATCAATATTTGTCTTAACTACGATGATTTATGTTTTAAAATTGAATGAATAATAAAAATAAATTTTTTTTAGTTCTTTGCACTTTCTATTTAAACTAATTGTCCTATAAAAAAAATTCAAAGGAAAAAAAGATGCGCCTCTTTATTTTCTATAATGTAGCACTTTTTAAAATTCAAAATTTCAAACTTTAATTTTATTGGCATTTGGAACTCTTGACTGACAATACAGCGTGCAGCGGAGCGTCACATCGAGTTCTTCTTCCCATCCGCTCAATTATTAATTAAAATTTATTTTTAAAAAATATATTTTTCAAAAATTTATTTTAAAAAAATATATTTTTTTAAATTAATAGAACATATTAATTTAATTTGTCACCTCTGGTAAAACAAAGATGAAAGACTGATAAATTCCCTCACTTTATATTTTACAGTGGGGGGATAACTGTGAATGTCTTTGCGAGAGAGGAGCAGGTACTTATAGAGCCAGTGTAACAGGTCACAAGCGAGAAGAAATCACTAACATGCACTCTGGTGGCGCTTGTCGGAAGTGGCGCAACGTTGGTTGCCAAGCGCTGCCCAGTAAACGAAAACTAATTGAAATGAATTAAAAAGAATTCACAAAGAGCTTTCGTGAATCCCGCTTTGTGACAAATACGAATTGGAGCCATGATGCAATTTTCCTGAATTCGTGAAACTGTATTGAACTTCCGAACCTTCTATCCGTACCAATTCACTGGACAAGTTTTGAGCCTTTAATTTTTTTCAATTCGTTAGCACGAATTCAATGCATTCCTTGGCCATTTCTTTCGAATGCGAATTCGTTTGGACAAATTGGTACATATTGAATTAAATTCAATTGAATATACAAAGAGCTTGAGTGAATCCCGCTTTGTGACAAATACGAATTGGAGCCTACCAAAAATGTTAATTCGTTTCAATTCATTTGAATTAGTTTTTTTTTACTGGGTGTGTCGATAATGTCAGGATATGCATGCGCGCCAGAAAACAGTTCCGAAAAGCGCCGCCAGAGTGCATGCTAGTGATTTCTTCTCGCTTGTGACCTGTTTCACTGGCTCTATATAAGTACCTGCTCCTCTCTCGCAAAGACATTCACAGTTATCCCTCCACTGTGAGATACGGTGAGGGAATTTTTATCAGTCTTTCACCTTTGTTTTACCAGAGGTGAAAAATTAAATTAATATGTTCTATTAATTTAAAAAAATATATATTATTGAAAAATATATTTTTTTAAAATAAATTTTAATTAATAATTAAAAAAAATCAATTTTCAAAACCTTGGTTTTTTGTTGGCTGCCAATAAAAAATCAAGCTTTTGAAAATCGATTTTGTTTCCTTGGCAACTAATAATGGCCCGATGCTTGGCTACCGATCATTGGCAGTAGCGTGATCATCCCAAGTTTAAACAATTGGTGGTCCAATGATGGTTGCCATTAATGTTCCAATAATGGAACGGAGTTCGCCAAGCATGGCCCATTATTGAACCAATCGTTTACTTCCCATTGGGAACCCTCAATTGTTATTTAAAAGACAGTCGCTCAAAAATAACATAAATATAAAACCAAAATAAAACAAATAGTCGCATTTTGAACACCATAAAGTTACATGGTTTAATAAATTTGATTAATCTAAGAATTGAGTTTAAAGAGTGTTTTTCCATTTTTATAGAGCAATGTTTACTGGCGAATTGGCTGAATCGCGGCAGACTGAAGTCACGATTCGTGACATCGACGAAATGGCAATGGAGTTGCTGATAGACTTTTGTTACACCTCGCACATAATTGTTGAAGAGGCGAATGTCCAAACACTACTGCCTGCCGCGTGTCTCCTGCAATTGGCGGAAATTCAAGATATTTGCTGTGAATTTCTCAAACGACAATTGGATCCTTCAAATTGCTTGGGAATTCGAGCGTTTGCCGATACGCATTCTTGTCGAGAATTATTGCGTATTGCCGACAAGTATACGCAACATAATTTTCAAGAGGTGATGGAGAGTGAGGAATTTCTACTATTACCAGTGGGCCAATTAGTCGATATCATATCGTCCGATGAATTAAATGTGCGTACGGAGGAGCAGGTTTTTAATGCCGTTATGAATTGGGTTAAGTACAATGTTTCCGAAAGACGTCAACATTTGGCACAAGTTCTTCAACACGTGCGACTGCCACTCTTGAGCCCAAAATTTCTCGTGGGAACGGTTGGGTCTGATTTGCTAGTCAGATCGGATGATGCGTGTCGAGATTTGGTGGATGAAGCGAAAAATTATCTTCTTCTGCCGCAAGAGCGGCCATTGATGCAAGGACCGCGAACGCGACCAAGGAAACCAACGAGACGGGGTGAGGTTTTATTTGCAGTTGGTGGATGGTGTTCGGGCGATGCGATCGCCAGTGTCGAGAGATTCGATCCAAACACGGCGGATTGGAAAATGGTGGCGCCAATGAGCAAGAGAAGGTGCGGAGTCGGTGTCGCAGTTCTCAATGATTTGTTGTATGCGGTTGGTGGTCACGATGGACAAAGTTATTTAAATAGTATCGAAAGATATGATCCTCAAACGAATCAGTGGTCGTGTGATGTTGCGCCCACCACGTCATGTAGAACGAGTGTTGGAGTCGCTGTCCTGGACGGGTTTCTTTACGCTGTCGGCGGACAAGATGGAGTTCAGTGTCTAAATCACGTTGAAAGGTATTGTTTACAGTGTTTTTCCATTCCCCCTTTTTCCTCTATTTCCAGAAGTTCCACTCTTTTATCCATTTTTCCCCTATTTTTATAGGGTACGATAATATATTATAAAGTTTTTTCATGCAGACAGCCATGTTAAAAAAGTTTTAAAAGAACTTTCCAAAATGTGCAAATTTTACTTCACAAAATCCTTGCTATTGATATTTTCAATTTCGATAATTTATTAATTTATAAGTTGATTAATAATAATAAAAAAACCATCACAAAATTTTCAGAAAAATAATTGAACTTCAGAAGGTTTTAAATTAAAATTATTAAAAATATCAATTGCTGTGTAAAAATGAATAATAATTAAAAAATTTAAAAAATTATTTACGTTTTAAATATGTACTTTTATTTATAAACGACGAACGGAGATAGGGGCCGTACACATAATACGTCACGCGATTTTTGACCATTTTTAACCCCTCCCTCTATGTCACACTTCGTCACAAACCTTGAACCCCCTCCCTCCCCCTACAACGTCACGTCACACACGTAAATTTCACTATAAATTTTATACATTGGACATTATATATTATATCCTACTCTCTAAATTATTGAATCAGTTAAAAATAACTGATTTAGAAGCAAAAAGTCAGTCACTAATTCAAATAGTAATATTTTTTTTCTGACAATTTGTTAAAAATAACTGATGCTTCAATACATTTTTTTTATTGATTCAATTAGTCACGTTTAATTACATAGCACCGAAACTTTCCAAAAAATTTATTAAAGATTTACTCGTAACCCAGTAAAAAAAAACTAATTCAAATGAATTGAAACGAATTAACATTTTTGGTAGGCTCCAATTCGTATTTGTCACAAAGCGGGATTCACTCAAGCTCTTTGTATATTCAATTGAATTTAATTCAATATGTACCAATTTGTCCAAACGAATTCGCATTCGAAAGAAATGGCCAAGGAATGCATTGAATTCGTGCTAACGAATTGAAAAAAATTAAAGGCTCAAAACTTGTCCAGTGAATTGGTACGGATAGAAGGTTCGGAAGTTCAATACAGTTTCACGAATTCAGGAAAATTGCATCATGGCTCCAATTCGTATTTGTCACAAAGCGGGATTCACGAAAGCTCTTTGTGAATTCTTTTTAATTCATTTCAATTAGTTTTCGTTTACTGGGAAGCTTTGAAATATTTAAATGCAAAGTTTAGTGAAAATTGTATAAAGGTTTAAATATTCCACTTCAATAAATGTTTAGCGCGAAACTTTCTTAAAAATTTAACTTAAATTTTCAGGAAAATTTTCACGAAAGTATAGTCGAAAATGTAATTCAAATGTTCAGGAAAGCTTCAAGCTACATTTTTAAGAAAATTTGATGATAAACATTTATTGGAGTGAGAAATTTAAATCTTTACACAATCTTAACTATACTTTGCAAGTAAATGTTTCTAAGTATGCAAGCAAATCTTTAATATACATATTTAAACCAGATGTTCATTACATGAACATTTTGCTTCCTCTTTACGATCAGCAAAAAAAATTTGCTTCCTCGTGGAGGAAGCATTAACAATAAGAATATTTAATTTTTAAATAACTTTTAATACAATTTAACATTTATAAAATAAAGTGCATTCGTCTTAATAGAAAGAATAAAATTTTCTTAAACAGTAATATGAATCTAAATAAATAAAAAAAATTTTAGTAAAAAAGTGAATTTTTCAAATTTGATTGTAATTAATTCTATATTTTTCAATAGATTATATACTTTATATACATCAATCGATTCGTCTTGATGCAAAGAATAAGATTTTTGATTTATTTTTCAATAAATAATAACATTTTATTGTACAGCAACATGATTTTTAAGAAAAAATGAATTTCTATTAAAAGTGCAAATTTTTTGTCTATAATTGGTTTTAATTCTATAAATTTAAATACAATATATACTTTATATATACCAATCGATCCGTCTTGGTGCAAAGAATAAGATTTTAGAAATAAATGAGTAAGATTTTCTTATACGGCAACATAATTTTGCGGAAAGCACTCATTTTTTGATAAAAACGCGAATTTTTCAGCTTTAATTGTGATTAACTCTGCAAATTCTCATACAATTTATACTTTTTATATACCAATCGATTCGTCTTGATGCAAAGAATAAGATTTTATTATTTATTAACTTCAATAACCAACTTAAAAAAAATTGTTTGAAAAAAAATTTTTTTTAGAAAAAAGTCAAAAAAAAATTTTTTTTTGAGAATTTTTTAAAGTCTATCAATCCATTTCGAGATATTTTTAGGATAAACATACCTGGTAAATTTTAGCCAAATTCGTTAAAACCTTTTTGAGTTATCGTGTTCACAAAAATCGGGATCCACACACACACACACACACACACACATACACACACACACACATACATACATCCGGACAATTGTTCAGGGTCTTATATAACATAGTCCCATATAGAAGAAAATTTGTTAAAAGGATTTTTAAAAATTTTGTAAATTAAACGACTACAAAGCTTCCTCACGAGGAAGCAAAAAGTTTCGGTGTTTTGTGGATAATTTTTCAGTTATTTTTAACTGATTCAGAAGCAAAAAGTCAGTCACTGCTGATTGTCAGATAATACCATGAATTTTAACTGATTCAATTTAAGAGAATATATTATTTATCATATTATAAATAATATACCAATAGATGTTAAACAGGTTCATAATAGATATTAAATAGTTTAAAGCATTTTTAACATATTTTATTTAGAAAAAGTGACATTGTCACATATAATTTCTTATAATCTTTGAATTTAAAAGATTGTGACGTAACACATGAGTTCACCCCCCCTCCCCCATGTCACACTAAGTCACAATTCTCAGACCCCCTCCCTCCCCCTAGCTGCGTGACGTATTATGTGTACGGACCCATATTTTAAGTTAAAGTTACAAAATTATGTGACATTCGCGCAGATTTTTTATTCCTAGCAACGTCAAGAAGTCTCATATCGAAATAAATTTTTGGTAATATAAACTAGAGGATATTGAAATCATTTTCACTCGATAATATGAAAACGGGCTTTCCTTCTAACGCTCTTCTAGCACCCAACGTTTCAATTATGGTTATTGAGACATTTAAATTAAATTTTTTAAAGGAGATATAATTAAAATTTGGTGTAATCGAATGGAAAATAATTAAATTTGTTAAAAAACTTCATTAGAGATTTAAAAAAAAATTAATTTACGAAGAATATTAATATTAGTATATTACATATTATAATATATATATATATATATATATATATATATATATATATATATATATATATATATATATATATATATATGATATTAATGTCAAAAGTATTGTTAAATTGTTCAAATTATTATTATTAAGGGCATGTGGGAAATATTCCTCCAAATATTGTTTTCCCGCGTGTCGTCTCACTCCTAAATAATTTGAGATATATCGTTTGGATTTATCAGGATAATTAAGAGAATTCGTGCTGATAAAGAATATTCTCGAATTTTGCAAGTATTTTTTAAAATAAGCATTGAAAAAGAAAGTTAAAAAGTTGCATTTTTGGCGAAAGTGACGGACAATATGGCGGCGAGCACACAGACAAACTACCCCACTTTCAATCGTTAATAAAATAAATTCCTCGCAAAATTATTGCAAAAACAGAAAAGGGCGCGCCTCAGTAAGTGAAATTCCTCTATCACCCCTCCAAATATGATCAATTTCTTTGATGATAGACCTCTGAGAATAGAAAACTTTCGTTCTATCCAAGAAGAACTTAATTTGCCTGCTTATAATTTTGTTAAACACGTCAGTTCTAGATGGCTTACCCTTCAAGATGCATCAAAACGTTTAATTGAACAATGGAAAGCAATTATGAAGTATTTTCTAGAATATATTCCTCTCCGACAAAATAACACACTTAAAAGCAAACAATATCAAGATATTGTCGAACTCATAAAAATGAAAAATATGAAGGCTCAAGTTCTATTTGTTTCTTCTAGTGTTAAAATTTTCAACCGCTTCACAGGAACTTTTCAGAAATCGGAACCTCTTATACACATTTTATATGATGAGCTAAAGCGACTGGGAAAAACTCCCATTGGAAAAATATGCAAACATGCATCCATAAAAAAATTTGGACTCGTCGAAAAAGTTCTTGAATCGGAAAATCTGCTTCTTGCTAAAGATATAAAACTGGATGATGAAGTAGAGGTCGAATTATCACAAGTAGGTTAAAATTTTTTAATAAATATTATATTTCAAGTAGAAAGTCTATTAATGCTTCTTTTCTGTTTTTTTAGTTGGATGAAACAATTCAGTTAGAAATCAAAATTCGACCCCAAAAGCATTTCGTTGTCGCCTGTAAACATATGCTACAAAAAAGCGCAATCAATAATGATGTAAAATATTGCCAGTGCTTACAAGCAGAGCAACGAAGGTTGTCATAGTATTAAACAGATATCGAAACTTGCTCGAGTCCTTCCATTGGACATAGACATTGATTTGCTTCAGGATGAATGGAAATTTCTTCAAGAAGAAAAGATAAGGTCATTAATGTTCGTACCGACAAATATTGGTCACAGTTTTTTGACTTAAAAACAGCTCTTTGTGAATTTAAGTATCCAACAGTAACACGTTTTATAAAAGTAGTCTTATCTTTAACCCATGGCAACGCTGAAGTAGAAAGGGGGGTCTCGCATTCTGCCAAATGGGTCAAATCATACCTAACAAATCAAAGTTGTCCCTCAGTTCTCCGATTTTTGTGAAACTTTGAGAAATTTTAAAGGAATATATGCAAATAAAAATTCCAAAAAAGATTTTCGAAAATTTAAAAAATTTGTGGTTGTTCAGGGTTTCCATTTTTTTTTTTTTTTGAAATTTTGAAAACGCAATATCTCAGAGACATGTGGATGGATTTTAATGATTTTTTTAGGGATTACTTATTATTTACAAACAATTAAAATGAAAAAAATTGCAAAAAAAATTTTTTTTGTTTTAAATAAAAAATTTAAAAAATATTGTTTAAACAAATTTTTTGTTTATAAGCGTATCTTTAATTTTATTCTTATAGCGATATTTTGATTCCTTAGGATTTCACGAGTATTTTGACATAAAGAAATCGATGGAGACTCTTAAACTTTCGGAGATATTGTATTTTTTGTCTTTGCGCGCAGGGCCAAAAAGCGCACTAAAGCAAAGGCTCTGTGTACAAGGTAACGGTCAAAATTACCTAATACTCGCGTAAATTTCAAACAAATTGAATTCTTTCTTTTTTAAATCAATTAGTAACATTTTATTAATAAATAAATAATAAATGAATAATATTTAAATAATAAATAATTAAATAAAAAATAAAACTCGTAAATTTCAATCGAATTGAATTCTTTCTTTTTTAAATCAATTAGTATATAATATTAGTATATAAAATAAACAAATTAATGTAAATTAAAAAACAGTTCCTAGCAGATTATTAGACTACTTTTTAACTACTCTGATTTGTTCAACAAGTCCTACATTAAATTAAAAAACCTGTTTTAATCATTAAAAAGTAGTTAAAATAAATCAGATAAATAGAAAAATAAAAAAGTAATATATGATGGAAAAGTAACATTTTATTCGTTTACATAAAGCGAAGACCTAGTTCGCGAATCGAATAATTCTTTATATGAAGAGTGCGCATGCGTAGACTCGACTTGGATAACTTCGCACATTAAAGTGCAAACCACTAAGCTGACTACTTTCTGGGAAAGACGGACAGGGGTGCTTCCTCATAAGGAAGCTTTGCATTCGTGACGATTTTCAATTTTTCAAAAGAAGGTTATATGGACTCATTTTCATCTCTAACATATGTATATTCAATTCTGAGCAAATGTCCAGATGTATGTGTGTATGTGTGTGTGTGTGTATGTCACAAAAATTGTGTACAAATTATCTCAAACAAATTTTGATGAAATTTTGCAGGTTTATTGCAGTCATTAATACCTAAAATCTAACACAAGGATTTTCAAAAATATCTAAAAAAAAAATTTTTTATACAATTTTTTTAAAATTCAAAAAATTTTTTTTTTGTATTTTTGTAAATAATTTTTTTATCTGTTAATATTTTAATTAATTATTCTCAAAATTACATTCCTGACAAGAAAACGAATCGATTGATGTATACAAAGTATATTTTTTATCAAAATTTATAAAATTAATAGAAATTTTTCTTTTTCACAAAAAATTCAAATTTTGTATTTTTTCATAATTTATTTAATATTAATATTTTTAAATGATTATTCTATCATAAAAAAAGAAGCTATTTGCATATGAAATAGAGGTGTGTATTTAATCGAACCGAACATTAATCGACTCGACAACAGAAAATTCGAATCATTTCGAATTGCAAAAGTTTGCAAACCGCAATATAATTACATTTAATTTATGAATATATCTTGCTGCATCAAAAAGAAATTTCCTTAAGAAGAATGTATGCTTTGATTGTTATGCTTTTGAAAAATCATAATTTGGTTTTCATTTTTCATTTAAAAATTTTTTGATATAACAAAGGTTTTTTACAAGAAAAAATTACTAGAATCTATAAATCATTTATTTATGATAATGTTTGATTAAAATTAGAATAAAGTTTTAAACATAAAAAAACATTGTTATAAAAATAAATTAATATAAATTTTTTATTTTTAAACAAAATTGATAAATGTTTGTATGAATGTGTGTGTATGTTCCCGATTTTATGGGATAAATTTAATTTTATACATATGTTTAGATGGAGTTTGCTAGAATTTTATAAGTGAATTACGTCACGAATTTATATTTTATATGTTGAGGAAGCTAAATGGTCATGAAATGAACAACTTGTTAAATCAGCATTCGTTCGAGCTCCCTCTATGTTTGTAACAAGTGATAATTGTAGAACTAGGTGTTTTTAATAGTCTTTTCGTAGTTAAAAAGAAATTATAAATTTAAACCTAAGGGAAAAATTAAAAAGAAACGCAAAGAAACTTATTTACATTTACTTAAACCTAAAAAAACAGAAAACTCAAATTAAACAAACAAACCTTAAACCACAAAAATTACACTGAAAAACATGCAATAAAACCTGAAACTATGAAAAAGACTATTAAAAAGACCTAGTTCTACAATTATCACTTGCTACAAACATTGAGGGTGCTCGAACGAATGCTGATTTAGAAATGAGACTATTAGAATCCCCTCTTTGACAAATTCACTTTTCCAGACGCGCAGTCGCGTTACGAGACTGAACGAAGTTATCCGAGTCGAGTCTACGCATGCGCGCTCTTCATATAAAGAATTACTCGATTCGCGAACTAGGTCTTCGCTTTATGTAAACGAATAAAATGTTACTTTTCCATTATATATTACTTTTTTATTTATCTGATTTAATTAAATTCTTTTTGATAATTAAAACAGGTTTTTTAATTTAATGTAGGACTTGTTGAACAAATCAGAGTAGTTAAAAAGTAGTCAAATAATCTACTAGGAACTGTTTTTTAATTTACATTAATTTGTTTATTTTATTTTACGCAGACAAATTATTTGTTTATTTATTAATAACTTATTATTTATTTATTCATAAAATATTACTAATTGATTTAAAAAAGATTGAATTCAATTCGATTGAAATTTACGAGTTTTATTTTTTATTTAATTATTTATTGTTTAAATATTATTCATTTATTATTTATTTATTAATAAAATGTTACTAATTGATTTAAAAAAGAAAGAATTCAATTCGTTTGAAATTTACGCGAGTATTAGGTAATTTTGACCATTACCTTGTACACAGAGCCTTTGCTTCAGTGCGCTTTTTGGCCCTGCGCGCAAAGGCAAAAAATACAATATCTCCGAAAGTTTAAGAGTCTCCATCGATTTCTTTATGTCAAAATACTCGTGAAATCCTAAGGAATCAAAATATCGCTATTAGAAAAAAATTAAATATACGCTTATAAACAAAAAATTTGTTTAAACAATATTTTTTAAATTTTTTATTTAAAACAAAAAAAAATTTTTTTGTAATTTTTTTCATTTTAATTGTTTGTAAATAATAAGTTATCCCTGAAAAAATCATTAAAATCCATCCATATGTCTCTAAGATATTGCGTTTTCAAAATTTCAAAAAAAAATTTGAAAACCCTGAACAACCACAAATTTTCAAAATTTTCGAAAATCTTTTTTGGGATTTTTATTCGCATGTATTCCCCTACAATTTCTCAAAGTTTCACAAAAATCGGAGAACTGAGGGACAACTTTGATTTGTTAGGTATGATTTGACCCAAAATATCTTACCGAAGAAAAAGCGTCAATGAACGAACGAACATTGAATGCAGCAATGACTGTAAAAAGCGGTTTAAAAAGATATTCAAACAAACCGGAGCTGATCTCACCGAGCAAAAATCTTTTGAGTCTTGCGAGAAATGCATGTGCCAGCTGTAGGCGATACCTTGAAGGAGAAAGGAAGAAATTAGAAGACAGAGTTCAAAAAAAGAAAGATGATGCATCAAAGAAAGCAGAAGAAGAAGAAAATATGAAGCGAATGACAGTGGAAAAGAATAGAATAACATCGGAAGAAAATATCGTAAAGGAATTTAAAAAAAATGAAGAGTCAAAGAGGAAAATAGAAAATAGATTTTTTAAAGAAGCAAACATAAAGCTAAAGGCAGCTATACAGAAGAAAGACATTGTAGAAGTGGAAATAGTTAAAACTTTGTTGGATGGAGTGAAGCAAGCGCAAAAAGAAGCAGATAGCCAAAGAAAAGAAGCCGACACGGTAGAAAAAGAAAACTTAATTAATAATTGAATTTTTCACGAAATAAATTTTCTGTGTATCTTTCTTGTTCTATTTAATGTTAAAAAAATTCCAAAAATGTTTAATTTACAGTTCATAAGTAAAATTTTATCATAAAAGCATAAAAAATGTTACTTTAATTTTAAGAAGATTTTTTAAACTAATAAAAATATGCTAATTGAGATTCATGTGATTATTTAAACTATATCATTATATTTTACGATTTAAAGTCGACACATTCAATAAAATCAATAAAAAAAAAAATTGGACAAGTGCGAGTTGTACTCGCACTGCAATGGCGGGTTCCGTACAGAAATATATTAAAACAATACTTGAAACATTTATCGGTAATTGGTAGAATTAAAATAAAAAAAAATATATTAAAATTATTTGATAAAAAAATAACTAAAAAAAATTAAAGTATTGTATATCTAATATTGTAAACAATAATAAGTAGAGGAACTAATTTTGAAAATTTTGTTCCTCTACTTATTATTGTTTACAATTTTACATATACAACACTTTAATTTTTTTTAGTTATTTTTTTATCAAATAATTTTAATATATTTTTTTTTATTTTAATTCTACCAATTACCGATAAATGTTTCAAGTATTGTTTTAATATATTTCTGTACGGAACCCGCCATTGCAGTGCGAGTACAACTCGCACTTGTCCAATTTTTTTTTATTTTTAGTTAAGAAATTAAAGGGATAAAACAATCTCTCATTTATTCTCTTGAAATTTCGCTCGTCCTTAAAATATTTAATGCCACGTGTTATAACTAAATAAAAAAAAAAATTTTTGAAAAAAAAAATTAAAAAAAATTTTTTTTTTAAAAGTTTCTTAAATAAATTTTTTGTCGTCAGACTGTAATAATACATTAGTGTACCAATTTTCAGCTAATTAGGTCAAATAATGTAAAAGTTAAAAAAAAAAATTTTTTCAAAAATTTTTTAGTTTTTCCTTGACAACGCTATGAACATTATTACATATCAAGTTCTCTATATTTTTCCTGTAATATTCGAGTGAAAATACACCAGCATGCAAAATTTCAGCTCTCCATGTCGAATAGTTTAGAATGGTAGAATGATGGGAATGGTCACTTTTTATGCATTTTTGGCCAAAAATCTTGTTATTTACGAGTGAAAATACATATCTGGACCAAATTTGAGCTCTTTAGGTCAAATAGTTTAGCCGCTAGGGGGGGGGACACGATTTGGCTACGGACACAAGAGTCTCACCAGTCACCAATAGGGTTCCGCCGATACACCGTAGGTGTACGGAACCCTAATAACAAATTTTGGTACGTAAATTGGTCACTATTTTTTGGTTTTTGGTATGTAAAGTACGTAATTTTCAATACCAAAGGCAGTTCGAGGCCTGCGAATGTTTAAACAATTTTTTCAATAATTATTTATCAAAATTTTGCAAAATTCCGAGAAGGGCGTGGGTCCCAAAGCGCTACTCTATATTTTCTAAAAAATCCCGACTCATAATATTTTTTTCTTTTTAAATGAGACGTCGGTCACGAAACCATTTTTTCTCCCACCTGCCCTTAGTAAAAGCAATTTTAATAACTAATTAATAAATAATAAATGAAAAAATAAGCAAATTCGATAAATAATAAAATAATTTAATTTATTTAGATATGATCCCAAGGAAAACAAATGGTCGAAAGTGTCGCCAATGACGACACGAAGACTTGGTGTCGCGGTCGCTGTATTGGGTGGTTATTTGTACGCGATCGGCGGTTCGGACGGTCAATCGCCATTAAACACTGTGGAGAGATATGATCCGAGACAAAATAAATGGTCACCCGTTCCTTCTATGTCCACGAGGCGAAAACATCTTGGCTGTGCTGTATTTAATAATTTAATTTACGCCGTTGGCGGACGAGACGATTGTATGGAACTTTCTAGCGCTGAGCGCTACAATCCTCACACCAATTCCTGGAGTCCAATTGTTGCCATGACTTCAAGAAGAAGTGGGGTATGTTGATCAAAAGTTTTTCTTGAACTAAGATAAGAAACTAATTTGAAAATTTTCAAAATCTAATTCAAAGAAAATTAATAACTGTCATGGAGAAAAATTTATTTATTTTTTTATTATTGTCAATTTTTCTTTCCCATAGGAAGCTTTATTTTTAGAAATTTTCAAGTGTGGTGGATATATTTCGACATAAGGAACAATTGTCCGGATGTGTGTGTGTGTCACCGTTTTTTGTGGACAAATTTTCTCTTGCACGTTTTGATAGATTTTGCTAATATAGGATTTTTTAGGTGTATTACGGTCACCAATATCTAAAATCAGATACAAGGATTCACAAAAATATCCAAACATTTTTTTTCATCAATTTTTTAATTTTTGAAAAAATCGTTTTTTCTGTATCCCCTAGCCGAAAGTACGGTCTTTCCGTTTTAATTTACTTCCGGAAATAGCGACTTTTGTGGCCAGCTCGACTGAGCCAACGCGATCTCTGATTGGTTACAAGATTCTCGACACACGTAAACTGTAGCATAGCAACCACACAGACACGTTCATTAAAGAGCTTGTGTTTTGACGTGAACTGAACATAACCTCAAAACTCAATCACATTGTAAAAAGTCTTAAGGAAATTTTCCTAAAGTTAGTAATTTTATTTTACAAAATCCTTGGCAAAAAAACTTCATTTAATGCGTCAAAAATACAGAATTTAAACTGAAAAATACGAAATCTTGTAATTTTGCCATATTAAATATGGCGATTGTCAAATCTCCGGCGTATTTAACACTTATACTGTAGGTAATAATAATACCCACTTTTGATGTAGCGAAATGACAAGTGACGGTGAAAATACAGCAGATGGGAAAATTCCCAAAGACATGTCAGTTATCCAAAATATGGAACTTTTTTTTCCTAGAGACAAAGGAATATTGCCGTTTTTAACATGGCACAATCACAAGTTTATACCAAAATACATAAGATAAATACAGTGCATGTAATTGAAATAACCAAAGTAGTGCATGAAATTTATTATTTTCTATTATTGTTTTTTAATTATGTAAAAATATTGTAATTTAAATACGAAGAATTAGGCTGGAGTCCCATGGTAGCGTTTTGCGTTGCGTTTTGTAACTAGGCAATGAATGCAAATAGAGCAAACCTATATCTGTATCTTTCTCACACTCATGGCCTAGTTACAAAACGCAACGCAAAACGCTGTCATGGGACTCCAGCCTTATCATGTTAAAAATTTTGATTGAGATTTGAACGATATTTCACAGATGTCACTTGATCGGTAAAGTAGGTAACTAGGGGAAGTGCGCCGGTTGTGGGCACCCCTACGTAAACTTCGACGGCAAGCAGACTTTACTGAACTAAGTATTGCAAGTCGTGTTCGTTGACAATACGGACTTTTCGTATTGATAACGAAACAAATATATGCATTTGTGTAATAGCTGTGAGCATAATAAAGAAAATTTGCATTAAATAAATAAAAAAGTAATTTTGTATTGTTTTCGAAGAGCAACATATGGGTGTAGATTCGTTCAGAAAAAAAGGGTTTAATTTTTTTTTTGCAGTGTTGTCATTATATTTTGTGATTTACCTTCGTGTTTAACCAAAATCCTGCATCACAAAATGTGTTGGTCTTTTTAAAAAATGACTGTCATTCCCGGTTGTGGGCACCTTTATGTTAAGGAGGCTCTACCATCTGACAATGATGAGGACTACTGTCTCATCTATCTAAACTTTCTGCCAAGGAAAGTGACAGCCGCAAACTCCATTAAATGCGATGAATATAGTCGTTCAGTGCATTAGAAGTGCGTTATGGTATGCGTACTAGCTACTTCACATGCAAGCATTATGCTTTTGTTAGCGATGAGCATAGTGTGAAAACGTGTCATCATTTTTGTTCTTTATCCCGGCAAATTCTCTTAAAATAAAGAAACTTTCATTTCTTCTTTATTTGTGTTGGTTTCCTTTAATATTTTTCCATTTTTAGCGGATTTTTCAAGGGTGCCCACAACCGGGTACAAAATTTTTTTTGTCAAAAAATTCCCATTTCACTAAATTTCTAATAAAACTTTTTTATTTAAAGGAATCAATTTAATTCCTTCACTGACAGTCACCTTAGACCTCTAGCTTTAAATTCGTACACATATATTTGAATAATATGCACATGGACAAATGTTATGAGGCAAAAACAAAAGGGTGCCCACAACCGGAACACTTCCCTTACTCTTAATTGATAAATATTTCGATGATTGTAAAATAGGAACAGTGCCGCTCAATAACATTTGCCCACCCTACAGCGATTAAACACTTTATAGAAAGTTTTATATTTTGTTTATTATTAAAGATAAAAAGCTCAAGAAGGTCTCCTTTTAAAGCTCTTTTCCTGAGCTTTAACACTGTACAAAACAAAAATTAATTTAATAAATAGTGAAAATTAACGATCACTCCGAGTCAAGGAAAATAAAAATAAAAGAAATTCAATTCTTTTTACGTTTCGGCAGCACAGCTGCCGAAAATTAATTTTTATCCCACATGCACAAAAACGGCGCTTTCTGATAGCAGCCGACAGGGAGGAAAGTCATTCATTTCTTCGACCGTATGAAAATGGCGGCCGTGTTCTCCCAAGGGCAAGAAAATTAGCTGTTCACATGTATTTTTCTTGCCCAAGGGAGAAATCGGCCGCCATTTTCATACAAATCGAACAAGTGAATGACTTTTACTCCCTGTCGTCTGCTATCTGAAATCGCCGCTTTTGTGCATTAGGAATAAAAAATATCGTAAGTAACACGAGAATAAAGGCAGCCAATTTCTTTACAATGATTTTTGTGACACTCGTTCCGGTCTCGACCTCCACTCGTGTCACAAAAATCACCGTAAAGAAATGGCTGCCTTTCTCCTCTTGTTGCTTAATATACTATTGTTAATGTTTAAAAAATGTTATTGCAACATAAAATTTTTCAATTTTTTTTGGTTTTTTTAAAGCGATACAGTTTTTTAGGAAATCATCGCATGTAAATCACACTTATATCATTTTAAAGCTAGTTTTATCACCTATAAACGTATTTAAAAAATTTTTTTTTTGATAATTTGTAAGAATAATATGATCATTTGTTTAAATAATTAGCCGTTTTTTTCAATTGTTGATTACTCAAAAACAATTCGTTTAAAAAAAATTTTTCAAAAACATAAATTGTTCATTTTTTCATGTAGAATCAGAAAAAAAAATTTTTTTGGCATTTTTTATATTTTTAAGTTTTAATCATAGAAATTCGCAACTTTTACTCACCACAACAAACAAATAAATTTATTGTCGTATTTATGTAATTATTTTCAATAATTTTAACTCAGCAATCATTTAAATCACTTTCCCAGTTAAAAAAAAAGTATTGGAAGAGAGCGAATAGCATTGGCGGTGAGTTTCTGCCAATACGTTTTCGCGTGAAAACCGTATTGGGGGCATTCTTCCAATCCTGCTTTTTCACCGTCAATACTGTCCTCTTGAATCTTTCGATTTCACGTTCATTGACTCGACTTGAGTGTGTACTGTTGATCTATTACCACATGATTTAGTGAGCTTTTGACGTTCGCACTAGGGGCGCTGTGAGTATAAGGCATAGCGCTTATCTAGAAAATACCCTAAATCATATGGTAATAGACCAACAGTTTGTCACATTTCATTTATTTACATTTTAACAAAATTTTATATTACTTCCTCATAGAGGAAGTATTGTAATACCAAAATTTTTTTAGTTCGATTTTTTGACATATCTTTATGTTATTTGACCTCAGGAGTTTAAAAATGACATTTTTAAAAAATGTCATTCCGTATGTGTGTGTGTGTATGTGTGTGTAAACATCACATTTTCATAAATATCTCGAAATCATTAAGAGCTTTTGGGTTGAATTTTTTTTTAAATTGTAGATCTCACCTGCGGACATAAAGTGAGAGTACTTTTTGATATATTAATAAAGTTTAACTAATTTTTTTTTTTATTTTTAATTTTGCAAAAAAACGTTTTTTGCCCATAACTTTAAAAAAATGTTAGGACACCTATAAATGTTTTTTCATAATTTTGTAGAGTTTTTTAGACGCATCTTTTGAGCCCTAATTAAACATTTTTCGTCCATATTAACTAGAGTTATTAAACTTTTAAAAATCAAAAATTTTGGAAAATAAGACTTTTTTGAAAATTTTCTGGAAAAACGTAGAAGTAACTTTAAAATTATCGTTATCAACTTGTAGAGCATTATAAAACGCTTCGATTGACCTATTTTTGAACCTAATTCGATAATAAATTTCGAAATTATTGGTATTTTAAAAACCAAAAATTGTGAAAAATGACATTTTCTCAACTTTTTTGTTTAAAAATTTTTATTTAACTATTAAATTATTGTAACTATCTTGTAGGGTACTTAAAAATACATTGATTGACTCAAAATTCAATCAAATCAAAAATTTTGGAAAAGAAAACTTTTTTGAAAATTTTGTTGAAAAACGTAGAAGTAACTTTAAAATTATCATTATCAACTTGTAGAGCATTAAAAAACGCTTCGATTGACCTATTTTTGAACCTAATTCGATAATAAATTTCGAAATTATTGGTATTTTAAAACCAAAAATTGTGGAAAATGACATTTTCTCAACTTTTTTGAGTGAAAATTTTTGTTTAACTATTAAATTATTATAACTATCTTGTAGGGTATTTAAAAATACATTGATTGACTCAAAATTCAATCACTTTTAACCATATTTATAAAAAGTTATTCATATATTTCTATTATTTTTATCTCCATGAGGAAGTAAAGTGTTCATGAAATGAGCAACAAAATTATATATCACATCATGCAGGCATTCCGACGATATAAATTGCGAATTATTTTCACAATGACATATGTTATCCTACTCAAAAAATAATAAAATGCGTATTTTTTTAAATTTTGAATAGGATTTTGTTTGCACTTTTTACAAATTTTTTAAGATTTTAGCAAAAAAA